GTCTCAGAGCGGCTTACAAACTCCTTTCCCTTCCCCTCCCCACAACAGACACCCTGTGAGGTAGGCGGGGCTGAGAGAGCTCTGACAGCTCTTATCAGAGCTACGGCTTGCCCAAGGTCATCCAGCCAGGTGCAAGTGGAGGAGTGGGGAATAACACCCGATTCTCCCAGATTAGAGTCTGGGCACTTAACCACGACACCAAATTGGGGCTGTGGCTAGAATCTCTTGCCCATAAGCCTCTTTTCTGTTTCATCCCGGTGCCAACCAGGCAGGAGATCTGAACCTCAAACCTTCTCGCTTGACCTGTTGGATAACGGCTACCTTTCAAATCCATCCTGCGGAGGCTGACGGAACAACAACATGTGATTTTTGGCCACGTGTTTTAGATTGTCAGCCGTCACAAGTGGCCCTTGTAAGGGCGGGAAAGTGAGATGCACATTTTTGTAAAAAAAAAAAAAAAAAAATTTGAGCATGCACGCCCGTGGGGTAGGGTGGGGGGACTCAGGGTGGGGTAGGGTGGGGGGACTCAGCCGGTCATTAGAACTAAGCTGTTTCTTATGAGTAAAATGATCTTCGATTTTTAACCAATGTTATTTTAAGAATCTACTTGCTACGATGCCTTAATAGAAATTAGCTTTAGTATATATATCCATAGGTTTGGTGACCACACCTTGAGGCATGCCGACAATGTCAAAATACGCTCTGCTACAGATCGGTTGCCCATTTTCATTGTCTACATTTACAGAATGGTGAGGAGCAGGACTCTTTATTGGAGTCTATTATTATTAATGCTTGAAAATTTACTGTATTCCTTTTCAAACTAGAACATTATGCAAGCAATTTTCTCTTGTAGGTGATTCAGCCTGTACCTATTTCTTGGAGGCTTCTATATGTTAAGCCCCTGATACAGAAGAAGAAGAGGAGATTGGATTTATACCCTGCCCTTCACTACCTAAAGGAGTCTCAGAGTGGCTCACAAACTCCTTTCCCTTCCCCTCCCCACAACGGACACCCTGGGAGGTAGGTGGGGCTGAGAGAGCTCTGTCAGAAACTGCTCTTTTTCAAGAACAGCTGTTGTCAGAACTATGGCTTGCCCAAGGTCATCCAGCAGCTGCATGTGGAGGAGGATGAGATTGGATTTATACCCCGCCCTTCACTACCCAAAGGAGTCTCAGAGCGGCTTACAAACTCCTTTCCCTTCCCCTCCCCACAACAGACACCCTGTGAGGTAGGCGGGGCTGAGAGAGCTCTGACAGCTCTTATCAGAGCTACGGCTTGCCCAAGGTCATCCAGCCAGGTGCAAGTGGAGAAGTGGGGAATCAAACCCGGTTCTCCCAGATTAGAGTCCGCGCACTTAACCACTGCACCAAACTGGCTCTTATGGTTGTGCTTTAATGTGGTTTTAACCCTTATTATAAGCCGCTCTGAGCCTGCCTACGGCGGGGAGGGGCGGGATAAAAAACCTGAATTAATAAAATGAAGTAAAAGAATACATCAGCCGCCACGGTGGCCCTTGTAAGGGCGGGAAAGTGAGATGCAGATTCTGCAAACGGAACCGATGAGAGCATGCACTCTTGCGGGGTAGGGCGGGGGGGGGGGGGCACAAAAGAGATGATAACAGGTGTGGTCTTTTCTTTTCTCGGTTTTCCTCTTACCTAATTTGGGGTTAGTAGTAGCTTGAGAGGACTGCCCTGGCTGCGGTACAGTTAACTGTCCCATGGCTGCTGGCTGCGTTGAAGTAGCAGTGGTGGAGATGCTGGAAGTGGACTTACTTTGCGGCTGCGCCTGGGACTGCGGTACTGTGCTCCGGATGGTGAGGGTGGCCGGAATGACCGTCGTGAAAGTGTTGGAGGGCGGTCGGACCGGCATGGTCGGTCCTGGTCTCACCTGGGCCACTTGGGAGAAGACCTGAGGGACGCCGACGGTGGTGGGCTTCACAAACTGGGTACCTGGGGCTTGGGGGGGGGAGGGGAACAGGACAAGAAGGGGGTTGTCAGATTCAGTGTATTGTCCTGAAGAAAGGCTATCGGTATAATTCCGACCGCGGCAACGAAACAGGAGTCATAGAATCATAGAGTTGGAAGCAGTGTTCCCTCTAAGCTGAGTTAGTGTGAGCTAGCTTGCAGTTTTTTAGCCTCCGGCTCACACATTTTTGTCTTAGCTCAGGAAGGATGGCTCTGGAGCAAACTAATTTATGCAGTAGCCAAATCACTTGCTCTCACAAAGTAGAAATTTTGCTCACAAGACTCCATAGCTTAGAGGGAACACTGGTCGGAAGGAACCTCCGGGGTCATCTAGTCCAACACCCCCTGCACAAGGCAGGGAATTCACCAATACCTCCCCCCACACACACCACACAACTGCTATTCCACACCCAGGAGTTGACAAAAAAACCCTCCAGGATCCTCGGCCAAACTGGCCTGGAGAAAAATGGCTTCCTGACCCCGAAGTGGCGATCGGCATTTCCCTGGGCGTGTAAGAAAGGGCCACGAGAACTAAGCACCGATGCAACCCTTCCTGCCCTCCCTCTCGTGATCTGCCCGAGTTCACAGGATCAGCGTTGCTGTCAGATGGCCGTCTGGCCTCTGCTTGAAAACCTCCAAAGAAGGAGAGCCCGCCGCCTCCCGAGGAAGCCTCTTCCACTGGGGAACCGCTCCGACTGTCAAGAAGTTCTTCCGAATGTTTAGCCGAAAACTGTCCTGATTTCATTTCAACCCGCCGGTTCTGGCCCGACCTTCTGGGCCAACAGAGAACAACTCTGCCCCATCCTCTAGGGGACAGCCCTTCTGTTATTCTTTGCTACTCTTTACTGTGTGCTGTGCTGTATTGCCGTTGCATGTTTAGTCGCCGTCATTTCACAAGGAACAGACTACAGCTTAGTAAAAAAAAGGGGGGGGGGGCATAGCTAAGCGGCAGAGCAGTAGCAGTTCCCAGGCATTGAACGGCACTGCCACTGAGAGGATTCCAAGCAGCAGGTGTTTGGAAAAGTCCCTGTTCTGCTTGAATGAGGAGTTAGAATGAACCAATGCCTGATTCTGTATACGGCAACTCCCTATTTTTACTGAACGATGTTTTGGGGCTTTGGTGAGATGAAACAATGACGGCCTCCAGGGCTCTTTTTGTAGAAAAAGCCCAGCAGGAACTCATTAGCATAATAGGCCACACCCAACAGCAGAAACCCATTAGCATATTGGGCCACACGCCTGACAGCACAGCTCATTAGCCCATTAGGCCACACCCACACGTTACCAGAAGTGTGGTCATCCAGCCACACCCACCTTTCCCTTCTTATTCTGTTGACCTTGTTTGTGGTCAAAACCCAGGGCCTTTTTTGTAGCAGGAACTCCTTTGCATGTTAGGCCACACACCCCTAATGTAGCCAATCCGAATGAGTTTCTGCTGTTGGGTGTGGCCTGTTATGCTAATGAGTTCCTGCTGGGCGGGGCCAACTCGGGAGCCAGCCGGAACTCCGTTCCTGTGCGTTCCTGCCCAGAAATAGCCCTGACGGTCTCCATCCCTTTTTTTCTTAGCTGCTTTCCACTCCAGTTCTCCCATGAAGCCCAGTCTCTCTCCATTCTTTGTAAACTCAACGAAAGCCCCCCCCAAAAAAAGATGAAAAATGAGCAAATTTTGAGCACTGCAATCCTAAGGGGAGAAAGATCAAGACGAGTCGCCGTGTTAGTCTGCCTGTAGCAGTAGAAAAGAGCAAGAGTCCAGGAGCACTTTCGAGACTAACAGTTTCACAGAAGAAGTGAGCATCATGTAAGCTTGCACCCTGCCACAAATTTCGTTAGTCTTTAAGGTGCTACTGGACTCTCGCTCTTTTCTACTGCCAGGGGTCATTTCCTGCGGGAGCACACAGGAGCGGAGCTCCGGCAGTAAGGAGCCCAGGGGGGCGGGCACATGCAACAAGCCCCGCCCCCTGCTCCCAGCAGCCCTCAGTCAGGCCACGAGGAGCAAGTAGCAGCCAGGTAAGTTGCAAAGCCCACCCCCTGGCCCGCCTTCAGGTACGAGCTCTCCCTCCTCTGTGAGGGCAGATCTGCACGTTCCCCCCCCCCCATAGCTAGCAATCCAAAACAGTCCAGTGGAGCCTGAGCAGTGGGTGTTGCCTGCTGATACACTTCCGGTGATGCCAGGGGGTGTGGCATATGCAAATAAGTTATGCTAATGAGCTCCTGCACCTTTTTCTACGAAATGACCCCTGTCTACTGCTAAGGGGAGAAAGTCAGTGGGGCTTACAAGGACATACAAGAAGATGAAGATTGGATTCATAGGCCGCCCTTCACTACCCGAAGGAGTCTCAGAGTGGCTTACCATCTCCTTTCCCTTCCCCTCCCCACAACAGACACAGGTGGAGCTGAGAGAGCTCTTTCCAGGACTGCTCTTGAGAGAACGTGTGCCTGACCCAAGGTCACCCCAGAAGCTGCATGTGGAAGGGTGGGGAGTCAAACCCGGTTCTCCCAGATTAGAGTCCATGCTCCTAACCGCTACACCAAACTGGCTCTCCTCTAGTTAGGGTCACACTGTAATAGGGGAGAGGCTGTGGCTCAGTGGCTGAGCACCTGCTTGGCATGCAGAAGGTCCCCGGTTCAATCCCCGGCATCTCCAGTTGAAAAGGACCAGGCAGGAAGCGATGGGAAAGACCTCCGCCTGAGACCCTGGAGAGCTGTAAAGAGGGGCTGTGGCTCAGTGGCAAAGCCTCTGCTTAGCATGCGGAAGGTCCCAGGTCCAATCCCAGGTATCTCCAGTTAAAAGGATGAGGCAATAGGTGAAGGGAAAGACCTCCGCCTGGGACCCTGGAGAGCTGTAAAGAGGGGCTGTGGCTCAGTGGCAGAGCCTCTGCTTGGCATGCAGAAGGTCCCAGGTTCAATCCCCGGCATCTCCAATAAAAGGACCAGGCAGGAGGTGATGGGAAGGATCTCAGCTCAAGACCAGTGTTCCTTCTAAGCTGAGTGAGTGGGAGCCAGCTCACAGTTTTTTAGCCTCCGGCTCACACATTTTTGTCTCAGCTCAGGAAGGAGGGCTCCAGAGCAAACGGATTTATGCAGCAGCCAAGTCGCTCGCTCACAACTTTAATGCCAGTCGCTCACAAAGTGGGATTTTTGCTCAGAGGACTCCATAACTTACAGGGAGCATTGCCCAAGACCCTGAATTGCTGCTGCCAGTCTGAGTAGGCAACACTGATCTTGAGAGCCCAGTGCTCTGACTCAGGACAAGGCAGGTTCAGGACACCCTCGTCATCAACTGTCAGTTTGGTGCAGATACACACGAGCACTTCTGCCCTCCTCTTTCCACGCCGTCACGGTCTCGTCCCCCTTCCCTGTTCCCGCGTCTGCCTTACCTGGGACTAGCGTGATGGGCCTCACCGTCTGGCCTTGCTGTACATTCAGGACGATCCCCACCTGGTTCATGGTGTTTTGCACGGGCCGGACATTCCGCACGGGGAAACCCTGAGCCGGACACACAAAACAAGCAGCTTTACTAGGTTGGCTTCAACGAAAGGATATTGCTAGGCGCTCGCGGAGGCCGTAATGCTGTGGCAATGCAGGAAGTGGTACCAGAAACATAATACAACTTCCTAAGGATCAGGGGTCATTTCCTGCAGGAGCGGAGCTCCGGCAGTAAAGAGCCCAGGGGGCGGGCACATGCAACAAGTCCCACCCCCTGCTCCTAGAAGTAAGAGCAAGAAGCAGCCAGGTAAGTTGCAGAGCTCCCCCCGGCCTCCCGGTCCAAAACAGTCCAGTGGCACCTTTAAGACCAAGTTTTATTCAGGTACATACTCTCCCTCCTCTGCGAGGGCAGATCTGCATGCCCCCCTCCCCCAATAGCTAGCAATCCAAAACAGTCCAGTGGAGCCTAAGCAGTGGGTGATGCCTTTTGACACACTTCCGGTGATGTCAGGGGTGTGGCATATGCTAATGAGCTCCTGCACCTCTTTTTCTACAAAATGACCCCTGCTAAGGATCACAGAGTTGGAAGGAGCCGTGGAGGCCTATCTAGACCTATGTAAATCAATGGTGCGACCTCATTTGGAATACTGTGTGCAGTTCTGGTCACTACACCTTAAAAAGGATATTATAGCTTTGGAAAAAGTGCAACTCGAATGATAAAAGGGTTGGAACACTTTCCCTATGAGGAAAGGTTAAGGCGCTTGGGGCTCTTTAGCTTGGAGAAACGACGACTGAGGGGAGACATGATCGAGGTTTACAAGATTATGCGTGGGATAGAGCAGGTAGAGAAAGAGGTACTTTTCTCCCTTTCTCACAATATGAGAACTCGTGGGCACTCCATGAAAGTGCTGAGCGGTCGGGTTAGAATGGATAAAAGGAAGTACTTCTTCACCCAAAGAGTGATTAACACTTGGAATTCACTGCCACAGGAGGTGGCAGTGTCTACAAGCATGAACATCTTCAAAAGGGAATTAGATAAGCATATGGAGCAGAGGTCCATCAGTGGCTATTAGCCACAAGGGATAGATAGGGACTCTGGGGCAAGTGATGCTCTGCCTTCTCGGTGCTTGGGGGGGGGGCAACAGTGGGATGGCTTCTAATGTCCTGGCCCCACTGCTGGACCTCCTGATGGCATCTGGTATTTCTGGCCACTCATTCCCCCCCCCCCCAACCCCAGCCTGTGTCTTTCCAGCCATAATTTAAACCCCTTCTTGCGAGTCCTCTCCTCCGCTGCCCACAGGAACCGCTCCCTGCCCTCCTCTAAGTGACAGCCCTTCCAATACTTCAAGAGAGCCATCCTGTCCCCCCTCAACCTCCTCTTCTCCAGACTGAACCTTCCCAAGTCCCTCGGCCTTTCTTCGTAGGCCTTCTTGGTCTCCAGGCCCCCAGTCGTCCTTGTCACTCTCCTCTGCACACGCTCCATCCCACCCACATCCTGTTTGAATTGAGGCCTCCGGAATGGCACACAAGACTCCAGGTACGGTCTGACCGATGTGATGCACAGCGGGACTATGACATCTTGCGATCTGGATGTTATGCCTCGGTGTGTTTTCATTTATTAAAACCAGGGGTCATTTCCTGCAGGAGTGCACAGGCGTGGAGCCCCGACAGTAAAGAGCCCAGGGGGTGGGCACATGCAACAAGCCCCGCCCACTGCTCCCAGCAGCCCTCAGTCAGAGCAAGAAGCAGCCAGGTAAATTGCAGAGCTCCCCCCATCCCCCCGGTCCAAAACAGTCCAGTGGCACCTTTAAGACCAAGTTTTATTTAGGTACAAGCTCTCCCTCCTCTGTGAGGACAGATCTGCACGCCCCCCCCCCATAGCTAGCAATCCAAAACAGTCCAGTGGCACCTTTAAGACCAAGTTGTATTCAGGTACAAGCTCTCCCTCCTCTGCCAGAACAGATCTGCATGTCCCCCCCCGGTCAATAGCTAGCAATCCAAAACAGTCCAGTGGAGCCTGAGTGGTGTGTGTTGCCTTCTGACACACTTCCGGTGATGTCAGGGGGGGTGGCCTATGCAAATAAGTTGTGCTGAGTTATGCTAACGAGCTCCTGCACCTCTTTTTCTACGAAATGACCCCTGATTAAAACCAAAGGTTTCTTTATTCATGGGTAACACCAGCAGCTAGAATTGGGTGTTAATATTTTCTTCTAAGGTTGTTTCTGGTTTATGACTGGTTGCCCATTTATACAAACGGCAGATTCTCCTGAGGGATGCTCTTCTGAGACGTGTCTACCCTGGTTTGTATTGAAAATTATACCTGAGAGAACTTGGAATAGCCTTAACTGAAGAAGAATTTTGAAACAGAGTTATTAATATCCAGAACCTTCGTATCGACTCATCGGACTACTTACCTGCTTGACCTACTTATGCTTTATAGCAGGGGTGTCGAACTCATTTGTTACGAGGGCCGGATCTGACATAAATGAGACCTCGTTGGGCTGGGCCACGTGTGTCATAAAATGTAATGCCAGGTAGCGGAGATATCAACTTTATAAAGGACACAAACTCAAATGGGTTCATTTTTTACTTTTTAAAAAAATCATGCTTAAAACGTGAGCACTCTTGCAATATTTTGTTTATTTAACAGTGTCTGATAAGTGACACCTCTTGCTCTGTTGCAGCCTTGAGTATGGATGTTCAGGTGTATATCTGTAAGCTGCAAAGCTACGACGACGCAGCAGCAGTAGAACTGGAAGAAGAAGCAGAAGACAGCCCGTTCCACTGCGGGCCTGATAGACGCCCCTCCGGGGGCCTCATCCGGCCCCCGGGCCTCATATTTGACACCCCTGTTATATAGCATCTATGTATTATTCTTGTGCTTGTTGTATTCTATGGCTTTGCTATTCTTTAATATTCTCATCCATCTCCTTAGATATGTTACAATATTGTCCTGATTTGCTTCTGCTACTCTCAGTGTCTTCTACTGTGCACGGCTTTGCTTATTTTTTTTTATCCCCCCCCCCCCCCCCCCCTTACTGTTTATTTTCTGGGCGATTCTTCTGTGCCAGAGGCGGCCAGGCGTGTGCCTGTTCACAATCCTCGCCTGGCCGACTCCCGTGAGGCCCTGATCCAAGCCAGGCTGGCCTGGGGCGGCACGGCAAAAGATCGAGGGACTTGGGGATGGCGTCCTCACCTGGGTGGTGATGAAGATGGGTTGACTGGTCACGGGGGCGTTGGTGACGTGGTTGGCGTTCTGCATGACCTGTACGGGCCGGAGGACTGGCTGGGTCACCACGGTGCTGAGGCCGGAGGCGGGGCTTTGCGTGAGGATGAGCGGCTGCCCGCCTTGCTGGACCAGAGGAGTGCCGGCTGGAGGGGGAAGAGGGAGCGAGAGAGAGAGAGCAAGAGTTAAAGAAGAGAGATTGGATTCATGCCCCGCCCTTCACTACCCGAAGGACTCTCAGAGCGGCCTAGTCTCCTTTCCCTTCCCCTCCCCACAACAGACACCCCGTGAGGCAGGTGGGGGCTCATGAGAGACAGAAAGCTCTGAGAGAACTTGTGACTGACCCAAGGTCACCCCAACAGCTGCACGTGGAGTGGGGAATCAAACCTGATTCTCCCAGATTAGAGTCCACGCTCCTGACCACTACACCAGACTGGCTCTTATACCCTACTTTTCACTACCCGAAGGAGTCTCAGAGTGGCCTATGATCTCCTTTCCCTTCCCCTCCCCACAACAGACACTCTGTGAGGTAGGTGGAGCTGAAAGAGCTCTTTTGAGGACTGCTCCTGAGAGAACAGCTGAGAGAACTTGTGACTGACCCAAGGTCACACCAGCAGCTGCACGTGGAAGAGTGGGGAATCAAACCCAGGTCTCCCAGATTAGAGTCCCCCCTCCTAACCACTACACCAGACTGGCTCTTGTACCCTACTTTTCACTACCCAAAGGAGTCTCAGAGTGGCTTACGATCTCCTTTCCCTCCCCCTCCCCACAACAGACGCCTTGTTAGGTAAATGGGGCTGAGAGAGCTCTTTTGAGGACTGCTCCAGAGAGAACAGCTCTGAGAGGACTGACCCAAGGTCACCCCAGCAGCTGCACGTGGAAGAGTGGGGAATCAAACCCAGGTCTCCCAGATTAGAGTCCCCCCTCCCAGGGCTATTTCTGGGCAGGAACGGAGTTCCGGCTGCCTCCTAAGTTGGCCATGCCCAGCAGGAACTCATTAGCATAATAGGCCACACCCAACAGCAGAAACTCATTAGGATTGGCTACATTAGGGGTGTGTGGCCTAGCATGCAAAGGAGTTCCTGCTACAAAAAAAGGCCCTGGGTTTTGACAACAAACAAGGTAAACAGAATAAGAAGGGAAAGGTGGGTGTGGCTGGATGAGCACACTCCTGGTAACATGGGGGTGTGGCCTAATGTGCTAATGAGTTCCTGCTGTTGGGTGTGGCCTATTATGCTAATGAGTTCCTGCTGGGCTTTTTCTACAAAAAGAGCCCTGCCCCCTCTTAACCACTGCACCAAACGTAGCTTCTGCTGTCTTGGCCGCAAGAAAAACCCATCAGTCCTACAAGCAGAACTTGTTACAAATTGTGCATGTTTTTAACATCATCACGTCATCCAGCTGCAACTCCCATGATGCCGCTCCAAACTGTCATCCTTCTCACCCTCACCGTGCTTAAACAAAGGACCAAGTCAAGGGAATCTTCCTAGCTGTTGCCTTTTTTGGGACTGAAAAAGACCATCTCCCTTTTCCAACACTGTAAGTCAGGTTGACTAGTGTCAGCTAGCTGCCATAGTATCTGGTGTTACCTGCTTAACACGTCTTGTGCTCTCCCCCCCCCCCCCTTGTTCCTGTAGCTTCATTATGCTTCTCTGTACTTTGCGGAACTGGCCAAGGTCATGCAGCTGGTGGTGGGAGTCGGTGCTTAGCTCAGCTTGTTATGGGTATCTACCCTGTGAACTGAACCTGTGTTGATTGTACTGAACTGTTACGTTCCCATGAAATGGGCGCGCGTTTCCAAGTTCTATTCCCGCCAGCGGGAACTGGGCTCATTGGCCCTAACTTGGTTCAAATCCCTTTATTATGTTATATCTGTGTATTGGTAGTCATTCCTAACAATGTCCTTGTTCCTGCTTGAACCATCGCTTTGAAATAAACCTTGCTTTGAATCAAACGTGGAGTTATTTCGAATGCCTGGGGATCCAACAACTAGTGACTAGTAACTGAATACAAGAATATTCCTGAAGAAGCAGAAACAGACGAGGAGGAGGTTGGATTTATACCCCGCCCTTCACTACCTGAAGGAGTCTCAGAGCGGATTACAAACTCCTTTCCCTTCCCCTCCCCACAACAGACACCCCTGTGAGGTAGGTGGGGCTGAGAGAGCTCTGAGAGAAACTGCCCTTGAAAGAACAGCTCTGACAGAACTATGGCTTGCCCAAGGTCATCCAGCCAGGTGCGAGTGGAGGAGTGGGGAATCAAACCCGGTTCTCCCAGATTAGAATCCAGAGGTCATTTCAGGGGGGGATCGTGGGGGATCGCAGTTCCCCCGGGTGAGGTATGGGGGGCGGGGCACATGACGAAGCCCCGCCCCCTGCTTCCGGCCGCCCCGCTTCCGGCCCTCATTCAGCCAGGAGGAGGCAGGAGAAGAGGGAGGGTAAGTTGCTTCCTCCCTGCCTCTCCCCACCCCTGCCTGCCTGGGGCCAGGGAGGGCCTTCGCGGGGCTTCCTTGCACTCCCACCGGCCTTGCAGGTCCACCGCCGGGCCCCTCATGCAGTGGAGCTGCAAGGCCGGAGGTGGCGGCCAGGACCGTTGGGGGCGGGGTGTGTGGCCTTAGGACACACTTCCGGTGATGTCAGGGGGTGTGGCATATGCTAATGAGTTATGATAATGAGTTCCCCTAGCTCTTTTTCTACGAAAGGACCCCTGTTAGAATCCATGCTCTTAACCACTACACCAAACTGGCTCTCCAGTTTGACTATGCAGGACTGCAATAAAAGTGCACAATGTGGTGGCGGAACATGGCATTAAGTTGCGGCTGACTCATGGCACCCCCATAGGGTTTTCAAGGCAAGAGATGAACAGAGGGGGGCTTGCCATGGCCTGCATCTGCGTAGCCACCTTGTCGTTCTTTGGTGGTCTCCCATCCAAGTACTAACCCGGATCAACCCTGCTTCGCTTCCAAGATCTGATGGTATCGGGCTACCCGGGCCACCCAGGTCAAGGCAAAGAGATGAGTAGAGGCGGTGTGCCATTGCCTGCCTCTGCATAGCAACCCTGGACTTCCTTCGGTGGCCTCCCATCCAAGTAGTAACCAGGGCTAACCCTGCTTAGCTTCTGAGACCTGATGAGATCGGGCTAGTCTGGGCCATCCAGGTCAAGGCAAGAGATGAGCAGAGGTGGTTTTGCCATTGCCTGCCTCTGCGTGGCAACCCTGGACTTCCTTGGTGGTCCCCCATCCAAGTACTAACCAGGGCCGACCCTGCTTAGCTTCCGAGATCTGATGAGATCAGGCTAGTCTGGCCCATCCAGGTCAAGGCAACAGAAGAACAGAGGTGGCTTGCCATCGCCTCCCTCCCTCTGCACAGCAACCCTGGACTTCCTTGGCCTTTTCCCACCCAAGTATTAACCAGGGCTAATCCCGGTTTAGCTTCTGACGATATCGGGCAAGCCTGGGCCATCCACGTCCGGAATGCGGCAGCGGAGGCAAAATGCAGTCTCCCGAGAACCCCAGCTCTTCTCTTTGTTAAAGAAAGGACGACTGCTAGCCCTCGTGATCACCAAGAGACACTTGAAAGCCGAGAACGGGTCATGCAGGCAGGAGAACACAGAGCCGCTTGACAAGAGTAGCTTCCCAGTGCTCCAGAGAAGCCCTCTTCTCGCGAGCAAAGTCAAAACGATTTATACCAAATCGGCAGACTGGCCAAATGCGTACGAGAAAGCAGACCTGCCTGCCCAATCTACATAATGTATACAGGTTACGTAATTCGGCTTCATTTTGAACACTGCTGCAGGATTTTAAACTTTGAGCACATCATGGGCCCCTGCAGACGGCCTGTGGGCTGACTTTCAAAGCCTCTCTCTTTACCGCTGTTGTTCGCGAAGAGCGTGACGAGGGTCTTCTTCGTCCCATCGCTGTTGATAGGCCCGCTGGTGCTGACGGGCGTTGGCGTGGAGAGGTTGCCGCCAATGGACGCGTGGGCGACGATCGGCATGGGGGTGGCGACCGGTTGCACGCTCACTGAAACTGCCGGGAAGAAAACACAGAGTGGTTAGTGGCTGGATTCGGACACTGAAAAACCCTACTCCGACAGAGGTTGGATTGGATAAACATAGGAAACAGAGGTCCAGCACTGGCTCTTAGCCACAAGGTATAGATGAAACACTCTGTCTGGGGCAAGTGATGCTCTGTCTTCTTGGTGCCTGGGGGGCAAGAGTGGGAGGGGCTTCTGGAATTCTGGCCCCACTGCTGGACCTCCTGATGGCTCCTGGTATTTCTGGCCACTGTGTGACACAGAAGGTTGAACTGGAGGGGCCATTGGCCTGATCTGACATGGCTTCTCTTATGTTCTAACTCTACGTTGGAAGAGGAATGGGGTCAGCCTCACACTGGCCAAAACAACTCGATGGCTATGCCCGTGCCCACTCCCAAGCATTTTATTTATTTATTTTTAAAAATTTATGCTACCTTCCACTTGATCAGGGCACCAAGGGCGATGCAGGTCAAGCATAAAAACGCCAGAACAACTGAAAACAACATTTAAATGATAAAATAACTCAATAAAAACATAAACAAACACCCCCAGACCAGGTAGGCCCTTGTAACGGCAGAAAGGTGGGATACAGATTTTGTAAATAATGACGACAATGATGATGATGGCTACCAGTTTATTTCTGGCCTCAATCCAAAGTGCTAGCATTGCCCTGAAAGCCATCAATGGAAAGAAAGGAAAAAAATAATCCCTGAAGTCAGGGAGAAGAGTTCTGAACAGGAGCCCAGAGAAGGTAGTGGAGGGGGGAGGGGGAGGAGGAGGAGATTGGATTTATACCCTGCCCTTCACTCGGAGTCTCAGAGTGGCTTACAAACTCCTTCCCCTTCACCTCCCCACAACAGACACCCTGTGATGTAGGTGGGGCTGAGAGAGCTCTTGACAGAAAACTGCTCTTTTTCAAGAACAGCTCTTATCAGAACTACGGCTTGCCCAAGGTCATCCAGCAGGTGCAAGTGGAGGAGTGGGGAATCAAACCCGGTTCTCCCAGATTAGAGTCCGTGCACTTGACCACTACACTTAACCACTACACTTAAGCACTACACCAAGGACCAATCAACTGAAGCCGAGACCAGACAAGACTGTGGTGTTGGATTGAGCTCCTCTGAAGGGGCTGGTTCCTAGACAGCTTGAGGGTGCTATTGGATCCTGGCCTGTGGTTGCAAGCCAGGTCTCCTCCGCTGACATGTAGTGCCTTTTAAGAGATTTGTCTGATTTATGTGACGCCCCTTGGTTCTTTCCCTTGGACATGCAGCCCACAGGGTTAATCAAAACAAGAAAGTTTTATTTACAGTAAAGTCTAAGACAGGGGTGTCAAACATATGGCCCGGGGGCCGGAACCGGCCCGTCCAGGGCTCTCATGTGGCCCACGAGCAACTGATGTGAGGGAGGGAGCGCTGGGGGGGGTGGAGTGGGGGGCACGCCATTTGTGGCTTCAGCATGGCGGAACAACCTCATCTGCAGCAGGCGAGCACTGTGGAAGCATCTGCCTGTCAGAACCCACAGCTAACAACGAAGTACACGAATTCAGGAACGGTTATACTTTTATTGCAAAGCTATAGATACAGTAACACAGGCACTGTTAAGAATGGCGGCAACCAGTAGAGCCTAATAGGATATAGGGTATTCGTATGCACACACACACACACCCATGGCACGGGCCAATTAGGCACCCTCCCGCACGCGGGATAAGTCAGGCAACCGTTAGGTGGCTAAAGCTGAGAACCAGAAGTCTCTCACGGTACATAGGAGCCCTCCAAACATCACAACCTCCTCCTGCACATCTGTAGAGATAAGCGTTTCAGCAGAGGCAGAACAGCAGGGATAGGAATGCAAGAGCAATTAACAAGACACAGAATGAACTCCCTAACCCCCATGGCAGCATAGCTGACACTGCCCAGTGCTGCGCTGCTGCTTCTCCAAAGCACCTATGTGCAGCCCATATGAGTTTTCCTTTGCAACCCCTCCCAGCCCATGGGGCCTTGCAGAGAGGATACACCAAGTCGGAGCTTACCAGCTTACTTCTGGCTGGAAAAGCCCTTTTCACCTCGGCCCCTAAGCTGTCAGCTTCCCTCTCTGCTGCTAACCCATCAACTGTCCCTTTGCAAATGCTGTTTTTCAAGCCCCCTTCTCTCAACATCCCGTCAGCTCTCATTGGGTGGTCTTAAGCAGAGGCGGAACCTGCTACGGCTGTTCACCTAAAAGCCTCATCTAGCTTCCAGTAGTCATGTATGGCTGCGAGAGTTGGACTATAAGGAAGGCCGAGCGCCGAAGAATAGATTCTTTTGAACTATGATGCTGGATGGAGAAGACTCTTGAGAGTCCCTTGGACTGCAAGAAGATCAAATCAGTCAATCCTAAAAGAAATCAACCCTGACTGTTCCCTGGAAGGCCAGAGACTGAAGCTGAAGCTCAAATACTTTGGCCACCCAATGAGAAGGGAGCCCTCACTGGAGAAGAAGACCCTGATGCTGGGAAAGACTGAAGGTCAAAGAAGACGGGGGCGGCAAAGGATGAGATGATTAGACAGTGTCATAGATGCAACGAACATGAAATTGAGCAAACTTCAGAGGACGGCAGAAGACCGGAAGGCCTGGCGGGAGCTGGTCCATGGGGTCGCGAAGAGTTGGACTCGACTGTACGACTGAACAACAACAACAAAAGCTTCTGTGATCAATGGTCTGATCACATCTCGGCTACTAGAGCATTGTCATTTACAAGATTTCGGTCCTGCCTTGTCCCCTCAGGCTCAAGGTGACGAATGGTGGAACAATCAGAGGTGTAAAATTTCTGAGAACATGAAAGCTTATACCCAGAATTAAAACTTTGTTGGTCTTCAAGGTGCCACTGGACTCAATATTTGACATCGTTGTGGGAAATAAAAGCTATAAATGCCTTTGTTTTCTACAAGCAAAACTGCAAATATATCCACTACTGGAGAGAAAACTGCAGGAGTCCAGTAGCACCTTTCAGACTAACGAGATTTGTGGCAGGGAATGAGCTTGCATGAGTCGCTGCTCACTTCTTCAGATACAGCCAGAATGTGAGTTCATCTGTCCTTATATCTTGGAGAGTGGTGTGACTTCAGATGCCAAACGACAATAGCAGATGTGATGTCATTTGGGGTATAAGACCTTCTGCCCTTCCTGGTTATGGCAGAATACAGTTTTGGAATTGCTGAAGTGCCAAGGTACTCAGCCCTGTATTCCCTGTTTTAAATGCATTAAACAGATACTCATCTAACTCGTTGGACTCCGACTGTGTGTTTCCAACTCGGCAACGGGACCATGCAGTCATAGATTTGTGCATCAAAGTGGAGGATCTTTTGTAGACGACAGTGGACACTACAGCTAACCCTGGTTAGTACTGTGCAGAACGAGGCAATGGTAAACCACTGCTGAACGTGGTGAGGGCCAGTTTGGTGCAGTGGTTAAGAACGGCGGACTCTAATCTGGAGAACCAGGTTTGATTCCCCACTCCTCCACATGCAGCCAGTTGGGTGGCCTTGGGCCAGTCACGGTTCTCTCAGAACTCTCTCAGCCCCACCCGCCTCACAAGTTGTGGGGAGAGGAAGGGGAGGTGATCATAAGCCGCTCTTAGAGACTCCTTAGAGCAAAGAAAAACGGGTTACAAAAAGCAATTGTTCTTCTTGAAGAACTCTTACCTCAGAAACCCTACGATGAGACAATCCAGGTGCTCATTAGCGCGTCGGCTTATCACAAGTTGGAACAGTTTATTAAGTTGGAACTTTGTTACTGCTGTATTAAATGAACTTTGTTGCTTGTTTCATACAAGCTTATTACAAGCAGGAAGCCTGTCATTATTGCACTAACTGCATTTTGCATATAAGCTGAAGCCTTGTGATTGTTTCTGATTCACACCATAAAAACGATTATAGGTTTCAATACAGGCTTACACTCCTTTATTGCGATAAGCCATATATTAAGTACGCAGCATTCGACATAAGTTGAGCCGCCTTCACCCACAGTGGTTTTTTTGTGTTTATTGTTATTGCCATACACTGTGATCCTGTTACATTGTTGTTATTCCGCGCTTTATTGGGTGACCTTGGGCCAGTCACAGTTTTAAAAGATTCCCCACTGTTACACATGCAGCCAGCGGGGTGGCCTTGGGCCAGTCACAAGCTCTCTCAGAGCTCTCTCAGCCCCACCTGCCTCACAAGGTGCCTGTTGTGGGGAGAGGAAGGGAAGGAGATTGTAAGCCGCTCTGAGACTCCTGG